TGGGGCGTTAAACAACTACATTTAAAAAGAAATACTCTACAAAGACAGACAGGATATAATTGTAGTCAAACTTCTACTTACCGTTGTATTGTTTTTCTGTAATTTTGAATTCCGTCTCTAAAGAACTCTGTGAAAAGAGGAACGTTTTTTGTATTAGTAAGAGTTTATTAGAACTTGTAACACATTTAGGTCACATTAGTGCCCAAGATAAGAAGTGACACCAAAGAATAACATTCGAAGAACAGAAGAAGGGGAGATAAGGACAACAGACAGGTGTTTGATAGGAAAGAAAGAGCAAACCACACCAGAGTACCCGAAAATCGGCCTCATGAAAGAGGAAACATACACTTCTTAAAATAATGCATGTAATGTACATCATCAAAGACAATAAAACAGCAAATATTATTCTTTATCCTTAATTGTTACTGTACTTTCTTCAACAATATTCATTCCCCTGAACTTAAATGTAAGGACAATTCTGTCACATTCGAAAAATCAAGATGTGTTAAATATTTTTAAAAACTTGAATAAAAGAGGCACCACTTAGAATGAAGATATTCGTTGCACTTTTTTCTTTCTGGAACATTTCTTTTCTTTGTTTCTTGCTGTTGCTGGGTTTTTTACCTTTGGTGTAAACTCCTGCTAAAAAAACAAACAACATTTTTAAGTAGATTACAAATAACTTCAGGGAGGAAACCTTGCCCTCTCCGAAAAGCGTAAAACACAAAACAAAACAAAAAGAAAGGAAGGTAACATGAAAGAAAACTAGGGACAAAGAAAAATAGACGACAAAATAATACAAGTAGATTAGTATATTACAGACGTACATCTGTATGTCTGAATTAAAAAGTTCAAGTGCACTACTGAATGAAACAATCGAGAGTTTGTGCCCCCCCCCTCCCCTTTCCGCAACACCCCCCACCTACCTCACTCCCTTCACCCTTCCCTTTTTAACACCCCATCCCCAACCACAGACATAAACAAAAAAGGGCAAACGTTATTTGTCTCTTGCACACATTTCAAAAAGATGTATCAGTTTTTGATCTGTACGATAGTACGATGTTCTGCTGATGTTCTCCATGATAATTAGCCCAGTTGGCAACGGGAAGTAATGTCGCTGTATGTTGTTCAGCTTTATCTACCAGACACGTTTGTTTATTGTGCCGCCTTTTTAAAAAGATAAGCGCTCTATTACGGACGACATTTTTGCAATAAATGCATGCTCTTTCCTAATGAATGGTGGGTTTTTTTTTTTTATTTTTTTCTTCTTAGCCCTTGCTTAGGCAAGGGATCATAACACTCTGATTTTTTAACAAGGTCCACATCAAAGTTATTTTTCTTGTCAAACGAGATCTAGCTTACAAACACGGACGCGCACACACACACACACACACACACACACACAAAATACACTCACAAACACACATACACACATACATACACACACACCCACACACAGACACATACACAATTACACACACACACACACACACATGTACACACACACACACACACACACACACATACAACCCGAACCCTTGCTATTTCTCGAAAGCGTTCCTTGTTTACATAAAGGAATTAATCGGAAGAGCATGGATATCATCATCACCACTGCTTTACTTCCCCTGGATCAAGGTACAGGTCAGGAACAAATACGTTCCATCTTTCCCTATCCCGAACTAATCTCTTGACAATATTCCGTGTCTTCTCGTTCTCCTGTCGATCATTCTCTAATAATCTTCTCCAGGTTCCACTGGCCTTCCCCCTTGATCTCTTACCATGTGGATTGAAATCCAACGTTTTCTTCGAAATATATGATTCTACCAGGCTTCCTGCCAATGTGTATGGATATGCGCTTTATAAAAAGCATTTTCATGTTAATAAATCTCTCCCACGGAACGGTTTCCAAGTACTTTCTGCTTGTACTGAGACAAGCGGGCGGAGAGCCATGGGAAACTCTCATGACAACACATTTTCAAGAACGTCCCTTTCGAGATTCAATGTATATCAATTGCTCCAGATTCCAGCTCGAGGCTATATTTTGACTTGTATTTTTACATTTTCCTTCCTCTTGTAGCGTCAAAAGTCGAGCGGAGGTCCACCTTTCGATCAAGGACCAGACGTATGACTTCTAATCATCAAAATAATCTATAGATGCACCAGCCATCTATGTCTGGATGCTATTTTATCCAGGTGACTTCTGTTGCAGATATATATTTCGTTATTCTGTCTGAGGACCTCTTTGGCGCCATCGAGCCTAGATTTTCGAGGTATACGCCTGCCTTTGTAGCCTGATCTTCACTTCTTGCGGTGTATGTTCGTGCAGCGAGAGACCTATTGAGCTGATGGTACTTTTCAACCCCCTTTCTCTTTTGACACTTTCCAAAAATAAAAGAACTGGAACCGAAAATAGATACGCCTCTATACATAGAGTGAAATCTAGGTACACTGTTCCTGGCCTGCATAAAAACGGGTGCCAATGTACAATGTATATTATTGTTGTGGTCTGTATGAATAAACGAACTTTGGTCCTACCTGTTTCTGTACGCGCTGCAAATATTATGCACATTTATCGCCTCCCTCTCCCGAGAGCTCTTGCCCTCTAAACTCTTGCCATAACGGATTAATGAGACGCGGTATTTATGAAACAAGCCCCACTGGTTTTGGAATCACCTTTCGGGTCCACTGGGAAAACAAGGGAGGTAATACAGAGAAGCTGTTCTCTTGACAACAAGGGAGGTAATAAATAGAAGCTGCTCTCTTGACAACAAGGGAGGTAATAAATAGAAGATGTTGCATTTGTTGTGATCTCCGCCAGCTGCAGCGAAAATGTCAGACAGACAAGACAAGACGGACGTGCGTGCGTGAGGGAAACATTGAGAGTGAGGTGCATTTGCCAATAAGACTGAGCAAAGAGTCGCTTTAGCAAAATCCAGATAATATGTTAGTGCACCTCTTTTTTTTGGGG